CGAGATGGGTGATGGGAGGCGAAGGATGGTAAGAGGGAAAGGAAGGAGGTGGACTGGTGTCTGTAAGGGAGGGGGTCATGGGTAGGAAGGCGAGGGAAGGAGGAGGGATTTAAAAAAATGACTTTTAGTAGGGGTTGGAGGAGGAAAACATACAGAAACAATAAAATAGATATAGAAAAAAAATACTAAAGATAAGGGGAGTAAGAGGAGTAAGAGAGGACGAGGATGTTATGGTCGAGGGAGGACTGTGTTTAGGATCGGCGTTTGGGAGAACGCAGGAAGTGTGAGAAACCCGTCGATTATATCTGTAAAAACACGTTTGATTAATTCATATTTGCTTCCGAATTTTTATTTCGTCGAAAACAACACGTGTTCGCTTATGAAAATATGTTCTTCATAAATCACCAAGATTTATTTTGGGCCAAAAATATTCCAAGAAAATAATGTAATAAGACATCTCTCTCCTGTTTTTATTATCATTTGAATGTGAAAAAAATAAAAAAATACTTCTTTCTTTTATTTTTCGTCCTTCCTTTTATTCTTCATTAATTATACATTTCTTTCGTCTTTCATTAAGTCGGTAATTGAATAATTTGCCAAAAGGAGTCACTAAAGAGTATAACTAGAAATACTGTTTTATTAAAGGTTTCTAAAACATTGAATTTCTTCTATAATACACTAGATATATTAATACACTGGTTATACGTAATTCTAACAATATATTTTTCCCATATATCAAACTCTTTATCAGTCAGATGAAGATTCATAATAAACATAATAATAATAATAATAATAATAATTTCTTATCTCTAAGTACCATATCCTTTCAGATAATATATTAATATATTTTTTTCGATATACAATTGTTTAATCTTTTATTCATTTTTTTTTATATCTGTTTGTACGAATCAGTTTGTAATCAATGTAAGAAAACTTTTAAAATTTACTGTATTTGTTTAATCATTTTTTTAAATGAACTTGTTTCAGTTCACGTTTCAATTATATTTTCAACTAACACAATGTTTCAAGCTCAGAAAAGGTTAGAATACTGAAATTCATTTGAAATTAATGATATTTTTGAATATATAATTATTATTCTAAAATCAAGCATACAAAGTATAAAGAATTTCTTAAAAATCTGATATAAGCTAAATACGGCACATTCTCCCTTAATATTCAACACTGAAACAATTCTTCAACAATCTCAACAATTTCAGCATTTTACAACTCAAAACTTCGAATATAAATCAATTTCAAAACATTCACAACAATAAATTCCTAAATTCTATCAATATAAGTACACCAAACCTCTACAGATGGAATCCAAACCCCGCGCCATCTTCAAAAACCTCTCCACACCGAACCCGAAGCAGTTCCGATCCCTTTCCGACCCTCCGAGCCACCGGATCGTAAACAACCGCGAGACTCTATACGGGAAAGGCTAGATCAGTGGCAATTCATTCCATGGCGTCTATTCTGATGATTTTCCAATGAAAATTTAGCCGTGAAAACCCGTATTTTCCATCCTTTTTGAAAACTGAAGAGACCAAAACGATCGACCACATTCACAAAGCCTCCGTAACTTTTGTGACGTCATCAAAATAAACCCCAAGCTTCCGTAACTTTTGTGACGTCATCAAAATAAACCCCAAGCTTCCGTAACTTTTGTGACGTCATCAAAATAAACCCCAAGCTTCCGTAACTTTTGTGACGTCATCAAAATAAACCCCAAGCTTCCGTAACTTTTGTGACGTCATCAAAATAAACCCCACGTGCTTCTCTCCAAAAATAGAATTAGACGCCATGACACCTCCTCCTCAAGTTGCTACTGATCTAGCCTTTCCCGACCTCTATACCTTAAATATCTTTCCACCAACATTACCAACCAAAGAGAGAAAGAGAGAGAGAGAGAGAGAGAGAGAGAGAGAGAGAGAGAGAGAGAGAGAGGGAGGGAGGGAGGGAGGGAGGAGGGAGGAGGGAGATGGAGGGAGGGAGGAGAGAGAGAGAGAGAGAGAGGAGGGAGGGAGGAGTAGGAGAGGGAGGGAAGGAGGGAGGAGATGGAGGGAGGGGGAGGAAGAGAGAGAGAGAGAGAGAGAGAGAGAGAGAGAGAGAGAAGAGAGAGAGAGAGAGAGAGAGAGAGAGAGGAGAGAGAGAGAGAGAGAGAGAGGAAAAGAGAGAGAGAGACAGACAGACAGACAGACAGACTCACCCTTAAACTTCAAAAAACAATAACAAAATATCCCCCCCCTAAACCCTTCAGAACAAAAAGCTGAACTCTGGACGCAGCAAGAACAGCACAAACCACCAATAAAAGAGAAGAAGAAGAGACAGCGAGACAGCCGGCGCAGAGAGCTGGTTTTCGACACTAACCACGCGTGGGTCTCGTGCTTTCCCTGGCGTGCAACTCCTCTCCGACAACTTGCAGGACTGTTTGCATGGTAGTTGTTGAGCCACTCGCACTGTGGGGGGGGGGGGTAGGGGGAGGTGTTAGTGGTTTGTTATTTGCGTTAAATCGGGGGGGGGTAGGGTAAGTGTTAGTAGTTTGTTATTAGTGTTAATATGATTTTAGTCATTGATATTTCCAAAACAAAAAAAAAAACGGATACTATTCTACTATTACTACTATTATTAGTGTTTTTATTGTCTTTGTTTTTGTTACAATTATTAGTATTATTATTATTATCATCATCATCATTGTTTTACTGCAATTATCAATATTATACTATTATTATTATCATTTTTTAATCATTATTATCATCATGATTGTTGTCATTAACAGCAGACAGCAACAATAATAACGATAACAATAAAAGGTTTCCTTACTGCAAAACCTTATATCCTTACCTGCTTCCGACTCAACAAAGTACCGTTGATGAGTTTGCTCTCAAAAGGAACCAAGGTGACTGGCTCAAAACCGAGGGAGGGCTTGTCAAAGGTGTACTGGGGAGAGAGGAATAGAGGGTGATTTTAATGGAGGGAGAGGGAGAGGGGAATAGGGGGTGGAAGGGTTGATAAAAGGAGGGCGAGGAGAGGGGAATAGGGGATGGAAGGGTGAAAAAGGAGAGATGGAGGGAGAGGGGAATAGGGGATGAAGGGGTTGATAAAAGGACGAAGATGGAGAGAGAGGAATGGAGAGAGAGAGGGAGAGGGGAATAGGGGGTGGAAGGGGTTGATAAAAGGAGAGATGGAGAGAGAGGAATAGAGGGTGATGAATGGAGGAGAGAGGGAGAGGGGAATAGGGGAATGAAGGGGTTTGATAAAGGGAGGGGAGAGAGGGGAGGAGGGGATGAGAGGGATGGAAGGCGACGTTGATAACAAAGAGGAGAGATTGGAGGGAGAGGGAAAGAAGGGAATATGGGGATGGGAGCGGTTTGATTAAAAGGTGTACCTGGGGAGAGGGAATAGAGTTGCGTTGATTTTAAATGGAGGGAGAGGCTGAAGGCGAGGGTGATTAGTCGGGTGTGTGACGGTGGAAGGTGGATAAAAGAGGGAGCCAGCATGTGAGGGAGAGGGCGTACGTAGAGTGTCGGAGTACTAGCAGCGAGGATGACTTGCAGCAGGGGAGTGATAAAAATGAGAATTTAAGAGGTGGGGGATTAAAATATAAGGAAAACTATGTGACAGAGGATAGACATCCCAGGGGAGCAATTCATGGCCGCAGGGAATCTTAGATATCCGTGATTGGAAGGGGTTAGATTACACAAAAGGTGTATAGAGTTGAGGAGTCAAATATGGCGAGGATATATCAGCGGATGTGAATGCGAACTAGGGTTGACTAAAAGGAGGGGGAGAGCAGGATGTTTGAGAGGAATATGAGGGTTGTCTAACTTGACTATGGAGTATGACGGACGGTGAATATGGGGATGGAAGGTCTCCAGAAACACGAGTGTGTGATCGAGAGCGTCGATCCAGGGAGTGAAAGGGAGCAAGGAGATAGCGCGTCTAATCTAGTGGTAATGAACGGAGAGAGAGATGATAAAAGCGAGAGATGGGAGAGATAGAGAGAATTGGAGTTAAGTAAGCATTGTATAAACTTGAAATACAAAATTTTTTTCCTTCGAAAGCTACTCTTTATGATGGGAAAGAAAAATAATTAAAACAAGAAGACTGTCGGGTTGAAAGTTACGTCCGAGGGAGAGGGAGAGGGGTGGGTAAGGAGGATGTGTTGGAAAAGGTGTTTTTGATTAAAAGGAGAGATGGAGAGAGGGAAAGTAGAGGATGTATGACATAAGGGATGAAGGTAGAGAGGAATTAGGGAATGATGGACACTGTGCATTGTGAGATAGGGGTGATAAAAGAAGAGGATTAGGCGGACGTGCAGAGAGGATAACCAGGTGATGGAATGTGAGGCAGAGGGGTGTAGGGGAATAGGGGGATGGAAGGGGTTTAATTTTAAAAGGAGAGATGGTGGGAGAGTGGAAATAGGGGGTGGCAAGGGTGCTGATTAAAAGGTGAGAGATGGAGGGAGAGGGGAAATTAGGTCTAGAGGTTAATTGGGTGATTTAATAGGCGTGAGTAGATGGAGAAGCATCAAAATTGCGGCTGGCGGCGCTCGAGGGTCCCACTTCCTTAGGCGATCTGATAGGAGTTTGAATAAAAGTGTCCTTGCTTCAGTCAGGTATGGCAGAATAGTGACTCGTTGCGGAATATAAAAAGAGGGTTTTGATGAATGGAGAGAGAAATGAGATAAATCGTGTTACATGAGAGATGATGATATGATTAGGAGGGTGGAACGGCGGTCTGTATAAATATGTGGTAAAGGAAGGAACCCAAGAATTGGAATAAGGGTGATGGAAGGGGTCTTCGCTCAGCGAGGGACTTTGAGGAGAGTTCTATGAGAAGGACTAGAGGGTGCATAGGACGGAGGTTGCGCACGGATGTGAGAAGCCTGGGCTATATACTCTAGTCGGCAGTGGACCCTGGCGTATGAATAAAAGAATGTCGAGCACGAATAGCCTCCCTCCGACATAGTGGGTTTCAAGCGACAGTATAGAGTTCTCATCAATACAGAATCTGTGCATGCACGAGCGAGAGGCACGATAGCCACAGTATGGCCGATACTTAGAGGGTACAGTGAGAGCCGCGACAGTAGGAGCGGATAGCCTAGTGGCATAGGGAGCACGGCGATGATCAAACGCTAGCGATGTGATGTGAGCGGATAGAGCGCGTTCTATTAAATACATAGCTTCGCGAGGGCGGTGATCAGGAGGACGATAGAGAAAAGAAAGGGAGGGCGGCGAAGGATGCGAGGACAGAGAAGGAATACGGCACAAGGCGTTAAGTGCGCCGTCATAAAAAAGGGATTAGAAGGGAGAAGAAGAGGCTGCTAAGATAAGGAGACAGGGGAGGGAATAGTCAGCAGGCGGTGAGCCTATAGGAGCATAGAGGCGACATGGAGGGAGACAGGTTATTCTCCGCCAATTCATGGAGACGTGAAGGCGTCGAGCCTCACTGAGGGAGGGTGCGAATCATCGCTAAGCGATAGGCAGCAACACAATAAGCTCGAGAGCTATGGAGGAAACGAGAGTAAGAGGGAAAGGTGCCTTACTTAATATAAGGTGCGCATAAGGTGTGTGTGCGCAGCGACGCGTAGCAGCGCGCAAGCGAGGCAGAGCGGAGCAGAGAGCCAAGAGACTGAGGTTAAGGAGTCGGGGTAGCGAGCGTCAGCGGAGAAAGAGCGAGAGAAAAGTGCCTTATTGGGCTACACTACTACGCGTTAATTTGAGTTGTAGATAAAAGTACATGGTTTACAATATGCACCAAAAAATAAAAATGAAAAAAATACGTATACTACTTTAATTAATATAATTTATGTCTGTACTCAATAAAAGAATGAGAAGGATGGAGATGGGGAGTATTACCATTTCTCCAACTATTATGCTACCGCCATCACTACTACTACTACTACTACCACTAGTGCAACCATCACTACTACTACGGCCACTTCTACTACTCTCACTACTCCAACTATTATGCTACCACCGCTTTCACTACTACTGCTACTTATTACTACCACCATCATCATTATTACTACTATTACTTCTACTACTGCTACTACTATTACTACTTCTACTACCACCACCACCACTGCTACTACTACCACCACCTGTACTACCAGTACCATCACTACTACTACTGCTACTATTACTATAACTACTTCTACTATTACTTCTGCTACTACTAGTAATAATACTATTACTATACTAAAACTACTGCTGCTGCTACTACTACTACTATTATTACTATAACTACTACTACTACTACTACTTCTGGCTACTACTACTACTACTACTATTACTACTATTACTACTACTACTATTATTGATACTACTACTACTATTATTACTATAACTACTACTACTACTTCTGCTACTACTAACTACTATTATTACTACTACTACTATTACTAATACTAATATTAATGTTACTACTACTAATACTACGATTACAACTATTACTACCACTTATACTACTACTATCACTACTGCAATTGTTATGCTACCACTGCTACTAATACTAATACTACAGATATTACTACTACTTCTACTATTACCACTGCTACTACAGCTACTACTATTACCATTAATGCTACTATAACTAAAAGTAAAGAAACATCACCTCCAGCAATAGCAACAACATTAATACAGTAATAACAACATTAACAAATACAACAGTTGCAATACCAACAACAACAAAATCCAACAACAGTTTCACACAACAGCTACAACTTCAGCAATACAGTAGCACATGAGCACCACCATCACCACCGCCACCAATATCACCACCAACAACAGCAATGTCACCACAACCACAACCATCACCACCACCACCACCACCGCCACCAACATCACCACCACTTACCTTCCTCACACCACCCTTCAGCACCATCACCACCGCCACCTTCAGCACCACCACCCCTTCCCCATCACCACCATAATCACCACCACACCAACCTTCCCCATCACACCCATAATCACCACCACCACACCATCCCACCATCCCCAACATCACCACCACATCCCAACACCACCACATCACCAACACCCACCACCATCACCACCGCCACCAACATCACCACCACCACCAACCTTCCCATCATCACCACCACCTTCACCACCACCAACATCACCACCACCAACCTTCCCCATCATCACCACCACCTTCACCACCACCAACATCATTTCCCACACCACCACCAACCACCACCACCAACTTTCCCCCATCACCACCACCAAACATCACCACCACCAACATCACCACCACCAACCTTCACATCACCACCACCACCTTCCCCACACCAACATCACACCACCACATCACCACCACCACCACCCACCACCACCACACCACCATCACCATCCACCCCCCACCACCACATCACCACCACCACCACCACCATCACCAACATCACCACCATCACCACCACCAACCTTCCATCACCACCACCACCATCACACATCACCCAACTTACCTTCCTCACCACCACCACCTTCACCAACCTTCCCCATCACCACCACACCTTCCCCATCACCACCACCAACCTTTCCCCATCACCACCATCACTACCACCACCATCACCACCACACAAACATCACCACCACCAACCACCACCAACCACCGACACCACACCCAACAACACCACCAC